ATCCTTCAAACACACAGCGCAGCCCTTACACGCACACACACTGCACCCTCACGCATACTCACTACACCCTTCACACACTGCACCCCTATGCACACACTAGATTCCTTGTAAGCAAACACATACTACATTCCCACTACATCACCAACACACACACACTACAGCCCGTATGCACACACTCGCTCATCCCCTATATACACTATGCCCCTATACACACACTCTCTACAGCACCTAAACACACATACATTACATTACACCACAAACACAACTCAACAGAAACCATCCTATTAACACCATACCACACCACAACCAGCTCACTTTATTTACACACAATTCCACAAGCAGGCTCCAAGCACATGCACAATACTCTTTCCTGGCATTTTTGTCTCCTGGGATCCCATTCATGGAGACACCAGAGACACGTTTCTCATGCTAGAGCTCTGCGCTGGTCTGCCCTAGAAGAGCATTGAACCAACATGCTAACATTGAGAGGGGGCGTGCTTGTCATTGGTGATGACAAAACACACCCTATCTGCCCCCCCTCCCTTGCCCCCAATTGGGCCACTGTGATTAAAAAATGCCTGGGCCAAATTTTTTTCCCAGTCCGGCCCTGGTAGGTAGCCTATAGACCTTAAGGAGAATCATTTCCAACTCTTTTAGGTCAAGTTAGTTATCAAGGAATCCTACTTAGTAAACACATCTTGTAGGTCAGCATAACAAGAGATGCAAGTCAAAAAGGTTTGGAAGTTACCCTTCACCCACCCACCATGTGTACTCGGCCATGCATTTCTTACTCCCTTTGTGTGTTTTTGGTTTTTTTCACCCTTCTGGGCACTGTATCTACTTTTGTTCCTTTTATTCACACTTTTGTGTCTTACCCCCTTTTGTGGCCCTTACCCCTTCTCTTTTTAAGGGCTATTTGTACCAGACTCCATTCCCTTTTGTTCAGTTGTCCATACCCCTTTGTTCATCTCCCGAATGACTGGTGTGTGGTCCCCCTTTTTTTACCTCAGTGAACACCGACCTCCTCTGGCTGTTAAACACAAATTAACAACTTGACACATTAGCTTTAGTTCTTTCCCTGGGTGGCCACCATTCGTATAACTGAACGCACGTGGTCCAGTGCATGGCTTCCATTTTGTCTCCTGAACACATGATCGTCAAACGCCTGAAACTATTTTCGGTCACGCGAGTCCGCGAACCCGGACGGAATTCATACCGCTGCCATTCAGCTTCCCGACCACCTAGACGAACAACGTTCAGGAGATATGATCTACTGACTGGGGGCAGCATTTGTTCTATAAAAGCCAGGGGGAGTGTTCGCACAGGAAACCCCAAAAACCGACTGGCCATCCTGCCCAATCCTCTGGAACTGTTTTGGGCTATCACCTCATGGTTGGTTAAAACTTTATTCGAACAGCAATTTAGTTCTACCAAACCAATCTGAGTGCTTTTTGGATATGTTGTAGGGTTCCTGTATTTGACGGATAATTGAGTTATCCTAGTTTGAGCTCAATTATCTCTCAAACACGAAGGCTCTTGGGAAGAAACCCCTGTGTTCTTTATGTGGAAACCCCATGCTAGGGGCCAGTGCATAAAAAGCCATGTGTGGTAGAATAAAATCAGTTGTACTGTGTGTCGTCCAGTTACTGGGGAGGAGGTAGGCTATTTACTTGGCAGTACCTTGTTCCTGATTTCTACTCTTGGTAAACCAGTGGAGGAACGTCCCAGTCAGGACTCGGGCTCCACTACACTATTAACACCCACTCCTTTGTTGACTATACACCACTCTCCTGTTGGAGGCTCACCCAGTTTGTATAGCGTGACCTCGCAGACCACGGTAGGGCTTCTTTATCCTCTACCTGTTGCATTTGACTTTATATCCCTGCTCCCTCCAGGCACTTTGAGAAGCTCCCTATCACACCAGATAGAGGATAATGTAGATCCTATACCACAGCCTGTAAGGCCACACAAGAGTGACCAGAGGGAGCATAGGGTGGGGGTTGCTTAGAGCATCTTCACCTCATCTTTCACCCTGAGTGGTTCGGTCCCAGTCAATATGCCACTGGGGGAAAAGCAGTATCCTCATAAGCTGCTGCCTCTTGCCCAGGGCCGGCGCTTCCTATAAGACGAACTAGGCAGCCTAGCGCTCAGGCGGCTGGCCCTTTAAATTCTGCAGCCGCCTGAGCGCTCTATAGAGAGCGCTCAGACGGCTGCCACACTGCCTCACCTCCCCTTCCCTGTAGCGTGGCCGAGCTCCTTTCCGGTCCGTGACCCAGCCGGACTGACAGGAAGTGCGGGTCGCGGACTGGATAGGAGCTCGGCCATGCTACAGTGCCGGGGAGGTGAGGAGATGATTAAAGGGAGGGAGGGGGGGAGAGAAGGGGAGAGGGGTGGAGGTTATAGGGAGGGGGGGAGAAGATTATAGGGGAGGAGATTATAGGGGGGTGAGAAGATTATAGAGGGGAGAAGATTATAGGGGGAGGAAGATTATAGAGGGGAGAGAAGATTACAGGGGGAGAATTATAGGAGGGAGGAGAAGGTACAGGGAGGGAGAGTGGAGAAAGGTTACAGGAGGGGGAGAAGGGATTACATAGGGAGGAGAGGGGGGAGGAGAAGGTTACGGGGGAGAAGATTACAGGAGGGAGAGTGGAAGAAGGAGGGGGAGAAGAAGGAGGGAGGAGAGGGAAGTGATTGGAGGGAGGGGAGAAGATTGGAGGGAGGGAGGGAGGAAGTGAAGAAGAAGATTGGAGGGAGGGGGGAGAAGAAGAGAAGATTATGGGGGAGAAGAAGAGATTACAGGGAGGGAAGAGGGGAGAAGAAGAGAAAATTACAGGGGGGAGGGGAGAAGATTACAGAAGAAGAGAAGATTACAGGGAGGGGAGAAGAAGAGAAGATTACAGGGAGGGGGGAGAAGAAGAGATTACAGGGACGGGGGAAGAAGAAGAGGAGAACACAGGGAGGGGGGAATAAGAGGATAACACGGGGGGAGAAGAAGAGGAGAACAAAGGGAGGGGGGAATAAGAGGAGAACACGGGGGGAGAAGAAGAGGAGAACACGGGGGGTGGGAGATGAGAACGTAGGGGAGGGAGAGACCACTAAAGGAGGGAGGGGGTGGTGGAGAAACCACTAGGGGAGGGGTGTGAGGAGAGACCGCTAAGGGAGGGGGGTGGGGGGAGAGGAGGGACCACTAATGGAAAGTCAGGGAGAAAAGGAGACCACTAAGGGAGGTGGGGTGGAGAGGAGAGACCACTAAGGGGCAGGGGAGATCTCTAAGGAATGGAAGGGAGAGCTCTATAGGACAGGGGGCAGGACAGGGAGCTCTTTCACACCTCGCGCACAAACACACACAATGCATCCTTATACACACAGAAACACAACATGCTTCCCTTACACACAGAGAAACACACAATGTAACCCTTACACATAAAGACAATGCATCCTTTGCACATATACACAGAAACACACAATGCATCCCTTACACACACATGCAAACACACACTGCTTCTCTTACACACACACAGAAACACAATGCATCTCTTACACACACTCAACGCACCCCTTACAGACACACACTGCATCCCTTACATACACAGAAACACACTTTGCATCCCTTATGTATACAAACACAGATTCACACGCATCCCTTACACACAACAAGAAACACACAATACATCCCTTATACACAAACACTCACTGCTTTCTATCCCTTACACAAAAACACACTGCTTCCACTACACACAAACACACTGCATCACCTACACAAACTGGTATCCCTATACACTACATTCCGTAAGCACACACATTAGATCCTCTACAGTAACAAATAACACATCCCCTACACACTCTACTCCCTGTGAGCGAACTCATGGGTGGAACATGTAGGTGGACTTATGGGTGGGCTTTATGGGCATACTCACCGTCAGGCCCTGGGCTATGTAAGAGGCCCTTGAGCTATGTAAGAGGCCCCCAAAAATGGAGCTGCTTCCCGTTCTCCCAGATTATTGAATTTTGTGACCACAGTTACAAACAGCCTCCAGAGATCCTGTTCTACACCAGACCAGTGGAGCCAGACTGCAGCCAGAGCCCATCACCATCCTCATCCGATTGTAAGTAGGCAATCTAGTATATTATTAGTGACACTAATCTCTAATTTACCTCACATTAAATCGACACTATAGTCCCCAGAACCACTGCAGCTTAATAAAGTTGTTCTGGTGTCTATAGTGTGTCCCTGCAGGCTTTTTAATGTAAACACACACTGTGTGCAGCAATGGCACTAGTTCATATGGCAGATCATATGGGTGGGGCATTACGATGTCCCGGGGGGGGGGGAGCAAATTTTTATTTTGCCCAGGGCATCAAAAATCTTTGCATTGGCCCTGGGCATAGGAGAAATACTGAGACAAAGTAGTCCCTACTGTGTCTGTATATCTCTTGACTGGGGGGGTAGGGGGGACGGCAAATCTTTCTTTTGCCTAGGGCGGCAAAACTCCTTGCACCGGCCCTGCTCCTGCCAACGCACAATAAGGTGGCCACCTATGACTTCTTTTGTTTGTGCAAACCTTTGATGCTGTAATGCATGACTGATATGAGTGTAAATGGAAAAATAATTGCGACCTCTCACCAAACCCAGGAAGTGACTGAAGTTCACTTGATAAACTGTATTGCAAATGAGCTTCACCACAATGCAATGATGGTTTTGAGGAGTTGTAGTTAATTGACAAAATTTCTGGAACACAAAGTTTGATATTTGAAGCAAATCAAATTTAAAAAAAAACTAAAGAAGATTAAGAAAAAAATTAAATAAAACCTAGGACAATTAACTTTAACCTATACATTGTGCCAAACATGTTTGAGCTTAAGGTGCACAAATTATATACAGTTGTGCTCAAAAGTTTGCATACCCATGGAGAATTGGTAATATATGTACCATTTTTAAAGAAAACATGAGTGAGCAGGCAAAACACATTTCTTTTATTTCTTATGGGATTATTCTGTGGGTTACAACAGAATGCCACAATCATAAAACAAAACATAAAGAAAAAAATGAAATGACTCCTGTTCAAAAATCTACATACCCTTAGTTCTTAATGCTCTGTATTGCCACCTTTAGCATCAATTAGAGCGTGCAGTCGTTTGTAATAGCTGAGGCCCCTAATTCTTGCAGTTGGTATAGTTGCCCATTCGTCTTGGCAAAATGCCTCCAGGTCATGCAAAGTCTTTGGTCGTCATGACCTGCACATTTCAGATCTCCCCAGAGTGGCTTGATGATATCAAGGTCAGGAGTCTGTGATGGCCATTCCAGCACCTTCACCTTTTTCTGTTGTAACCACTGAAGGGTCAACTTGGCTGCCAATGGTAACCTTATGATTTTTTCCTACTCTGGGTGATAGGCCAGTGGAACAAATGGATGTGCTTTGCTTGTACCTGAAGCCAGGGCCGATCCTTGGGGGGTTGCAGATGCATATGTGATCTGTAGAGATGCAGGGTGTTCGGCGCAGTCTGCACCCCCCAAGGATCGACCATGCCTGTAGCATGCTTTGCCCCAAGCAATGGAAGCTGCCTTGTCTGTAATCCTAGTTCCTCCCGGCTATTCAGGCAGAAGACCTTTTAACAGAAGTTGATACCTTCCTTGCTGTATCTGTACTGTTATCAATGCTTTTCATTCTTAACAGGTGCCAGGGTCACAAAGGCAGGGGTCTTGAGTACATTATAGGCTATGGGGCCAAAGGAACCACCATCCGGTAAAAAATAAAGAGGGGGCAAAATGCAGATATTTGTTACGGAGAAATCAACCTTCATAGGAAAGTAGGTACAGAATACAATTTGTATGATATAGTAAAAATTCAACAAATCACACTTTCATTCAATGCTAGATGAGCAATTTGCTGCACTATATACTCACACTAAAAGTGCAATTTTCACATGCCTTTGTCAGGCTTGTCCTGTTCAGCCCCCTAGGCCAATTGCCTACTGAACACTGAGGAATCTTTTATTTTCCTATTCATTCCCTGAGAACAAGAAGACGGCTTTGATCATTATTAACACATTTGTAGGCATACTCATATATCAGGAAGAGCTGTAAATTGTATCTCAGCTATTAAAACCAAGCCAAGACACAATATTTCCTGAACAGAGTGTACTGCTTAGGGAACATCTGCCTTCAGAGTGTCACTGTTTGCGTTGTTTTGGACTAAAGGTGCTGATGCTGGCAGTGTTATCACAACAAGGCCTGGCTGAATAGCTGCAATAGCAGGTAAATAGGACAAAGGTTTCGGTGTACCACGCAAAACAGGTCACAGCGACATTTATACCTTTTATCAATGCAGCTGTAATGTTGTGCTGACGAGTGCACAGCTGATGTGTTACAGGAACAGAATGTTCTGCTAGTTTATGCAGAGGGAGGAGGGGGTCTTTCTGGATAATGCAGTTGAGGAGCTGCTTTTGAGGAACAAGCTTATCTGCACAAAAAGCACGTAACAATGATTCACCCACTGCCGAGAATGTGAAGTCAGCTTGGGCAGCACAAAAACTAAATAACTATTCCAGTATAGTATAATAAATGTATGATTCCAGTAAAATCACTATAAAATGGTTAAACAAAGCAGGTCCAATGACTGCATTATGCATGTTTGTTGTTAAGGTATACATAAGGTAATAGTAACGTTTACTAAATTGTGTTGATTAAACATTGTGCAAGTGCTCATTTGTTGTATTCCAACAGCTACTGTTTCAATTTTTAGTGTATAGCTACCCTGATGGAACTAATCAGTTAACAGGAAATAGTGTTCAGTAAACATTTTAAATTGTCAGTTTAAGGACCATAGATACTACAGCCTGTTGTAGTGGTTATGATGGAAATAAGCTGGTTCTGTGTCAAGTGGTTTGACAAAAAAATGAGACCTATGAGGCACATGCAGCCTCCTACCCTATTGATAATGCAGAAGTTACATGCTTGCATTAGCAGTATCAATTATATCTTTATTTGGATGGAAGTAAGAGGCTGAGGATGTTAGGCCTCAGACCAGCACCATGACCACTACAATGGGCTTCGAAAATGATAAAGCTTAGACTATCTCTTTAAAGGGACACTGTAGTCACCCAGACCACTTCAGCTCATTAAGGTGCTGTGTCCAGTGGCAGAACTACCACGGTTGCAGGGTTTGCAGCTGCGACTGGGCCCGTCACTCCAGGGGGTCCAGCCGCCGTTTGAACACCTGCGATTAGGGTGTATGCCGGCTATGTAACACGGCCCCGGACCGCGCGGTATAACTGCCGGGGCAGCACATTAAGGCCACCAATGGCAATGAGTTTCAAGGGGGCCCGATAAGCACTGCGGCGCTTTAACAGCGCAACGAGCCCCCTATGATGAGGTCAGAGCTGGGTGGAAGTGACAGGCCAGGTTACTTCATCCCAGCAATTACCTTGCTGCAAGGGAGGAGGAAGTAGAGGAGGCCTAAGCCACTGGACCCCATGGAAAAACATTTTATATGTGTGTGTTAGTGTATGAGTGTCTGTACGTATGTGTCTCTGTATGTGTGTGTGTTTGTGTATGTGCACTGGCATACATACCGCGGTCACAGGGGTCACAGCTGCGACCGGGCCCGTCACTCCAGGGGGCCCGGCAGCCCAGCAGACCCCTGCGACCAGGTACTCGCCACCATCTTTTGCGGCCTCGGCCCATGCGACAAACCGCCAGGCCGCCGTCCAAGGGGTCATCGGTTGGCCCATGCTGTCAGGGCAACCTGATGGAGATGGATTGTCAGGGGGCCCGGTCAGCGCTGAGCGCTTTAACAGCGTGACCGAGCTCCCTGTAATGAGATCACATGCTGGGAGGAAGTGACTGCACGTCACTCCTACCAGCCAACACACAGAGCCCGCGAGGGAGGAAGCAGAGGGAGTCAGAGTGGGAACTCTGACTCCCCTCAACCTGAGGCACCACTGGACCCCAAGGAGAGTCACCCTTCTGCGCCTAAAAGGTAGGAAACACACATTGTGTGTGTTTGTGTGTGTTTGTATGTGTGTATGTGTGTCTCTGTATGAGTGTATGTGTGCATGTCTGTTTGTATGTATGTGTGTGTCTTTGTATATATGTGTGTCGTGTGTGTCTGTATGTGTGTCTGTATGTATGTATGTGTGCCTGTCTGTTTGTATGTCTGTATTGTGCGTGTGTCTGTATGTATGTATGCCTGTCTGTATGTATGTGTGTCTTGTGTGTATGTGTCTGTATGTATCTGTCTGTATGTGTGTGTGTCTGTCTCTCTATGTATGTATGTGTGTCTGTATGTGTGTGTGTCTGTGGGGATCATTTTCGCACTGGGGCCCCATGGATTGTGTGTACTCCACTGTGTATGTTTCTTTGTATGTGTGTGTGCATGTGTGTCTGTATATGTGTGTATGTATGTATGTATCTCTATGCATGTGTGTGTGTGTGTGTGTATGTGTGTGTCTGTATTTGTGTGTGTGTGTCTGCATGTGTATCTGGCTGCATGTGTGGGGGGGAAGTATGCGGTGGGAGATAAACGTATGGGGCAGCAGGTAAACGTATGGGGGGTGGGGTGGCTGTGGCTTTGTCCCTATTGCACTTAGTGCTGCAATGTAAAACATTGCACTTCTAGAGAACTCTGTCTGCCCTCAGTGACTGTCCACTGGGGGGGCGCTACTGGAATCGAAACAGACTTTTGGTCCGTTATCAGGAAGTCCGTACGTCCTCATGCTTTCCTATAGGGAAACCTTAATGCGAGTGTGGCCATTGCAGGGGAGGAGTGTAGGCGAAGCGTGACCCTGCATCAGCTGGCGGGGAGACCGATTGCGCATGCACGGCCACCGGCGGGATGAGACCTAATGCGCATGCGCAGCAATGCAACTAGAGGAGGACTTAACCCTGCAAGGTAAATATTTCAGTTTATGAAAACTGCAATATTTACAGTTGCAGGGTTAAGGGTAGTGGGAGTTAGCACCCAGACCACTCCAATGGGCAAGTGGTCTGGGTGCCTGGAGTGTCCCTTTAATGTGGGTAGATGCACAATTTCGAATACAGAGGAATTAGCCTGTGAAGGAGCCCGTTTTGTTTTACCCCATACATGTTGCAAGACTCTCTGGAGCATTGTCTGTGTATTTCCAGTGTAAGCATCATCTGCTTCAGATTTATGGACTGAGAGAACACAATATCTTCTACTGAGGTTGCAAAAGGCAAGAACCAGTCACATAGACAGTAACGCACTGAAATGCTCAATGCCTGCAAACGTGCACTTGATCTGCACTTTGATGATTGATTTTACAGCACCATAACCACTGCATGCCGATGTAGTGGTTAAGCCACTAATGGGCTGTGGGCAGGGCTGGATTGGGACACAAATTTGGCCTGAACATTTAAAGGCAGATCAGCCCAATACGGGTGAGAACGGGTCCAGAGATGGCTGTGTTGTGTCATCATCAATGGCATGCACACTTCCCAAAGAGTGCATGTCAGTTTGATGCCCCTCCAGGGCAGCTCATACCCAGAGCCCTACTGAAGAGCTCTGGCATAAGGAAAATGCTGTGTTTGTTTAGTACAGTGCAAGTGAATTTAATGATATGCTTGTTCTGTTTGCTTGTGACATGTCTCTAGTGTCATCACAAGTGGAATATCAGAGGACAAAAGAGGGACAGGGCTGCGAGAGGGTGTACTGTGTGTGTATAGGGATGCCGCTTGTAAATTTGTTTGCATGTATTGGCTGTTTGTGAGGTTGCATGTGTGGAAGGGTCAGTCTGTGTATGTATGGGGTCAGTATGTTTGTGTGTTTGGGTCAGTCTGTGTGTGGGGGCAGTCTATATGTGGTGGGGTCAGTCCTAGTGTGTATGGGTCAGTCTGTGTGTGGGGGCAGTCTGTGTGTGGGTGGGTCAGTCTGTGTGTGTATGGGTCAGTCTGTGTGTGTGTGTGGGGGGGCAGTCTGTGTATGTATTTGGGTCAGTCTGTGTGTGGGGGCAGTCTTTGTGTGTGTGTGGGTCAGTATGTGTTGAGGGGGGCAGTCTTTGTGTGTGTATGGGTCAGTCTGTGAATTTTTATTGTTCAGTCTGTGCAAATGCTTGAGCTCCAAGTGACCTCCCCTGTACCCGATGGATAGATGTATAGGTGGATAGGCAGCCTTCTCAACCACAATGGAGCTGATTGTGCCACCCCCTTCCTTTTTTGTTTGTTTTTTAAACTCTTATTAAATACCATAGTACACCCTTTACAGACAGTGAACCCCCATCATACAGTACACTCCCACACACACAGAGTACACCCTTGCATACACACACAGTGAACCCCTCACACACTTCATCCCACACATCATCTCTTCACCCACATAGATATTTCATCCCCACGTACATTCACCCCCACACACACACATACATACATACTTAACCCCATTACACACCGAATTGTACACACATACACACCTCATTGCATACACATTACAGCTCCTTGATAAACACACAATGCAACCCTAATACACATACACTCACACTGCAGTCCATTGATGCACACGCACACACTTTACAGGCCCTCTCAGCACACACACAATCTCAAAAGCTCTTATACGTGGTCACACTATAGCCCCTAGTTACACATAGTACACCATAAACAGACTCCTATTTACACACACTTCACCACAGTCCCTTATGAACACCATGGGAAATTATCTTGCATCTCTTGAAAAAGTTTTTCAGTTTCTGTGAAAAGGTGTCTTGCCTGTAATAAGGAAGGCCGGGGCCCATCGAGTGGCCCTTGTAAATAAGTTTAACAAAGAATCACATTTTTGCCTCATTCCATTTTAAACATGGATTCCTTTGAGTCTTTGTTTGCTGTATACAACTGCTTTGAAACACAACTTAGGAAAAGGCAAAGCCAGTGAACCACTCATGGACAGCTGTTTCATTGTTAATGCAAATCATTGCATGAGGTTGGTTACTGGTTTGCTTATTAAGGCTTGGTAGTGCTTGGGAAGCAAAAACCAAAAAGGTTATGGTGGGGGAAAAAAATGTGATTGAAAACCCCTTCCACCTGAAGTCTGTGGATAGTTAAACAAAAATCTGCACACCAGTCAAGCCATGAAACATGCTTTTTTCACAGAAATCACAAATCTGCATTTGCATCTTTTCCTAAGTTGTGTTTCAAAGCTGTTGTATACAGCAAACACAGACTCAAAGGAATCCATGTTTAAAATGAAATGAGGCAAAAATGTGATTCTTTAAACTAATTTGCATATAATTTGCCCAGACTCCTTTGCGGTAGTAACATCACTG